AATATATTTCAGCCTTTAGCTTGTTAACAGGATAACAAAGGGGACAGGTAGAAGTGTAAATGAAGAACATAAGGAGGTTATTGCTATAGGAGATTTTTAGTACTCCATATAGATAGGATAGTCTATGAGGTAAATAAGTAGAAAATAATTAGATTGTGCTATCTAGGGGCAGGTGTGGAGAATATAACCGACAGAGCAAGTGATATAGTAAAGAGTGTCAGTAATAATGAAATTTTTTTTGTGTACATAGGACTAATGATGTTGAGAACGGTAGGTCATAAGAACTTATTGTAAGTACAGAGCATTAATAAAGGCATTAAAATAAAATGGCCATAATAACTTAATTCTGTCAGGGGGTGAAATTATAAGTAGATCACTAAGTCTGACAGCTAGGCATAGGTTAATATATAGGAAAGAGCACGTTGACAGGATGAATTGGTGGGATCAATTCAATGGTAAAAGGGGAACTTTTTGGAATGGATGGTTTACAGTTAAATATGATAAGAACTGATTCCGTTGCACGGGCTATAAACTCAACTGTAAGGGCAACTTTAAACTAGGATTACACAGTAGAGAAGACCAGAATAATTTAGAAAAATAAGATATAGAGAGGGAAGAAGATACAAGTGTTATTATTGTAATGCTAAAAGTATAATAAATAAAACTGATGACCATAGAGCACTGGTCAGAAAAGAGGATATTGATACAATGAGAATAACTGAAACCTGGCTAAATGTAGACAAGTTTTATGTCAAAATTTTATTTGAAATACAAGATTATAAGTTGTTTAATAGAGATATACCACCAAAAAAAGGGGGGGGAGTGACGTTATATGTAAAATGTGAGTTACAGTCTGTTCAACTCGAGGATATCAAAGCTAATAGCAACGACGTTGAATCTATTTTGGTTTCTATTAATGGTTATAAGGGGAGAAAGCTTTTAGCCGGAATTTAATTACGGACCACCAGATGAAGCTTATGAAATTAATGACAAACTCTAAAATAAAGTTAATAATTCAACTGCTAATGAGGTTATAATTATGGGAGATTTCAATTTCAGGCACACATGTTGGAAAATATTAGAGCCAATCATGAGAAAAACAGGTTTTCATAAACTGTTCAAGATGGTTTTCTTCGACAATTGGTTATAGAACCAACTTAGAGCAATGCTATTTTAGATTTATTGTTATCTTCTAATAAATAAATGGTTGATAGGGTAGAGATTGGGGAATATCTAGGTGCAAATGATAGTTGGTCAATTAGATTTGATTTTTCGTTGTATATGGAAATAAGGAATAATGAGATTATGGTTCCATATTTCAAAAAAGCAAATTTTGAAGAGATGAGACAAGAATTATCCGCTTTAAATTAGGAAACTTAGTTAGTTGGAAATACTAATCAAATATGGAAAACTTTTTGAAATAAATTCTTAAATATTGAAGAAAGACATGTTCCTTATAGATTAAAAAATGTGACTGCAAGTTAAAACTAGGTTGGTTTACAAATATTATAAATGATATAATTAAAGACAAAAATTATAAATATAATTTTAAATTGACTGTAACGATGTGAGATTTGGAGGATTATAGAAGATCAAGAGAGATGGTCAAATGAAAAATTAGGAAATAGTATATATATATATATATGAAGAAAATGTGGGTTGAAAATTTAAAAATTAATAGTAAGGATTTCTTCAAATACGTTAAGGGTAAGTAAAATGTTAGGATGGGAGTGAGTTTTTGAGGGATGATACAGGAAGGTTAAAATCTGATGATTATTAAATGGCTGAGTTATCAAAACCTATTTTTTTCAGCTTTATTATTGAAACTTTGAGCAATATTCCTCATATTGAACAGTTGTTAGATGGACACAAGAATGAACAAGATAATCACATCAATTCTGAACTTGTTAAGAAAGAAATTGAGAAGTTTAAAGAATGATAAACTTCTGGGCCAGATAATATTTACCCAAGAGTTTTTAAAGAGGTTAATGATTGGATGTGGGAGTCACTTGTTACTACTTTTTCTAAGTTCTTGAATAGCGGACAGGTGTCAGAAGATCGGAAGTTGGCTAACGTTACTCTTCTTTTCAAGAAAGGTGATAAAAATTGTCCCAGTAATTATTGGCATATTAGTCTTATATCAGTGGTGAAAATCGTTTTTAAAAGTATGATAAAAGATGTTTTGCAAAGTCACTTTAAATAGTTTATTTATTTATTTTTTATATAGTCAGCATGGTTTCTTGCCTTACTTGTATTTTGACATTCTTTAAAAAGGTTACTGCTTACGTAGATGAGGGTACAGGTGTGCATTTGGTATACCTAGATTTTCAGAAAGTATTTGACAAGGTGTTACATAAAAGGCTTGTTTAAAATTATGTGTATAGGTGGGGAGAATAGGTTGGTTCATTCGATAGAAAACTGGCTAGATGGAAAAAACAGAAAGTTACTAGAAATGGAGTTCAGTCAAACTAGAATAGTCCTCAGTTTTAAGACCTTTGTTCTTTCTTATTTACATCTATGATATAGATAAAGAAATGGTCAATAAATTACTTATATTTGCTGATGTCGTTTAAGATTTAGGTATTGCTGGCTATGACGAGGATGCTACTGCTTTACAAAAGAGTTGGGATTATTTGGTGATTTGGGCAAATAAATGGGAGATTACTTTTATTTATAATAAATGCATACGGGATATCACAATTTGAAATGCGAGTACAATGTTATGGAAGAAAAATATTTTTGTGTTCTGTTTCCTGGGTCTCTCTAGCCATCTAAGCAATATATTGTTGCTAGTGACAGATCAAATAGGATTTTATACTGTATCTATAGAAATAGTGAATATAAGTCTGAAGAGGTTTTATTGTCATTGTACAGATCATTGATTAGGACACATTTGGAGTATTGTATTCAGTCTTGTGCTCTTTACCTTAAAAAATACATTGAATTGTTTGAAAAGGTTTGGAGAAGGGCAACGAGGATGATACCTGAAATGGAAAGGTTGTCATACGAGGATAGGTTAATACCTCTGAAATTATTTTCTATTGAAAATAAAAGAAGAGTTAGAAGGGATCTGATTTAGGTACTTACAATTGATAATGTAATTGATAGTGTTGATGCATCATCTTTTATTTCGTCTTTATTGGTGAAATTGGTAAGACTAATGGAGAGAAATGTAAATTTTAACAAGGTAGGAGTCATCTTCAGCTAAGACAGCTTTATTTTTTTAAACAGGGTGGTTGGCCAGTAGAATGTGTTGCCTTCAGATTTGGTAGATTCAGTTAATTTAAGAAAGTTTAGAGTTTAGTTTAATTTAGTGGATAGGATGGCCTAGATGGATCAAACAGTTCTCTTGCTGTCTTTTAATGTTATGTTATAAATACCCGACTGCTGTCACAACTAATAGTAGACCAAGACATCCTATCCTGTTTACTTTTACAATGTGTTCTATTTATGTAAGCTACGAGTATGGTTGCAACCAATAGTAAGCCCAAACATCTTGTTTACTTTTACAAATAGCTCGTTCGAACTTTTTTGAACTTCAAGGCTGCGTGAATGATTATATTCAAATCCTCAGATTGTTTAACTGAGTAATTCAAACTTTTTATTAGCACTATTATGTAAATATTATGTAAAGAATTTAAATATTCACAATAATTGGTTCTCAAAGTAGATTTTCAAATAACGTATCATTGGATAATTTAAGTTAAACCAGTGGATATTGCATTATAGTTAGATTTAAGCCAAATGTCGATTTCGCAAAATTAAATATTTCAACATAAAAATCATTTTCAGTTGCGTTTCCTTCAATAAAAAATATTTGTCTTTTGTTTCTTAGAAACCTTTGTTGCTTATTATGATGTATTTTGAAGAAGCGTGCAACAATTTTAAGCTCGAAATATCCACACACTCTAATTCCAGAAGCACACTAATATTGAAACACATTGTTGGAAATTTCACTTCTTAAGCCTAGTAATTCCATGCTTCAGCTTCAACAAATTATCTCCATGGGTTCAATATTCATTACACAAAGAATTTCTGTCTTACTGATACTGTTGAAAGTAGTTTTATCAAGTAAATAGCTAATCATTTTCACGCCTAAAAGGCACATAATGCCGATGCTTAACTTTGGTTTATTGAAGCACAAGCGGAATGAAAATGGAGAATGGTGATAAATTCCGCTTGAATAAACTCCAGATCATCGCAGGTTAACTCGCAGCTGCCCGCTTGTACCCATTGAACAACTGGGTAGACTGAAGCAATTGGAGTGAAGTGTCTTGCTCAAGCACTCAAAACGTTTCGGGCAGTACTCGAGCCCACAAACACTAAACCCTAGTCTATATTGCCCCTAATCAGTTTTATGGGAACTTAAATTTTTACTGGTAGATATTACTTAAGTCATGAGCGATTTCTCGAGGTATCTTTGTAAACGTGTAATGATTTCAAAAATGTTTCAATAATATTTAACGTAATGTGCTTCTGTGTATCATATGTAATTTATATGAAATGCAAAGAGCAGCCTAGCCATGTGTATGTTTCCGTGCTTGAATCATATGTAATTTATATGAAATGCAAAGAGCAGCCTAGCCATGTGTATGTTTCCGTGCTTGAATCATATGTAATTTATATGAAATGCAAAGAGCAGCCTAGCCATGTGTATGTTTCCGTGCTTGAATCATATGTAATTTATATGAAATGCAAAGAGCAGCCTAGCCATATGTATGTTTCCGTTCTTGAATAATATGTAATTTATATGAAATGCAAAGAGCAGCCTAGCCATGTGTATGTTTCCGTGCTTGAATCATCTTCCGTGTTTTGTTTTATTTTTTATCTTTCAAACTACATTTCCATGGTTCAATCGTTAAATTTTTCTCCTTAAATTCTGAATTATAATATTCTTCATTTTAATCCATTGCCTCAGCGTCATAAAATGCCGTAGCCTATCTCATGTTGATATATGTTTCCACGGTAACATCCATCTGTATTATTTGGTTTTTGTGTAGGAGGAAGATATAGTACATTCTCCAACGGAGTCCTTCACATTCGTGATGTTCGAGCTTCCGATGCCTACAGTAGCTATCAGTGTGTGACCACGAACAGATTAACGGGAGAATCGAAGACTAGTAATTTGGTTGGTAGATTAATTCTTAAAGGTAAGTCTAAATGGATTTGATTAAAGTAGCAGAAAATCTCGTAGAGCGCATTTAATATTACAGGAATAGAATTCAAACTTCATTCAATTTCTTGATGATTTTCTATAGCTTGGACCGTCTTGCTAAAATATATTCAATATTAAGTATTTTGACTCTAAGGGTAACAAAACAAATGTGGTGAGTTATGCAACCGTAACCTTAAGTTAAATCACGGAAAGTGGGTGTCGTTCATATAGCTTAAAGTATCGAGTACTTGCTTTTACACGAATTCAAAATCTATAGATGGGTGTTTGGATTTTTTTTCACTTTATACATTAGCCAACTAAACCAGCCAGTAAAAGTGACGACTCAAATGGCTGTTGGACGGATTTTGTTTTCCACCATTAGGACATTATATCAGATCGGCTTTCTTATTTTTGATTCAGTAAAACTTAAAGTAGAATTTCTTGATTTTCAGGTTACAAGAATTGAGACTGTACTGAATAGTGATTCGTTCAGAAATAATGTTGCTCTTAAAAGTAAGGCAATTGAAAGGTAAAAACTGATTTTTAGAACTCTTTAAAAGGGTTGGGCGTGGCTAGTATCCGAGGTTAGAATTATCTAAAGTATTCATGATATTAAGTACATGTATCAAAAGTGTTTAGAACTTAGCCCTTCCCTCTCCTCACGATAACTTCGTAGTTGTGCCTTTACAGTCATTTCGATCGTAGTATACAATACATAAAAACAGATTTGTAACAAAGGAAAAGGGCGTTATCATAATAGCGTCACTACTGTATTAGGTATACAAGCTACGTTAATCTTGTTACTGATATATATATATATATTATATAGGTACAGCTGGAAATTTTATACAGCTTCCACTGTCAAATAATGCATACTCACAACCCACTGTGATAATTATAAATACGCCACTTACAACGTAGTGTTTTGTTAGTTACAAAACTCATCACTTGACAACATTTACAATATATCTTATCCTTAATTACCACCCCTCCTGTGGCTCAGCGGAATGCCTGAGAGTTTTTAACGCTAAAAGCTGGGTTTTGATAACCGCGGTGGGCAGAGCATATAGTTCATTGTGTAGCACTGTGCTTAACAATCATTTTTGTTTCTTTGTTGTTGTTTTTAGCACATAGCCACACATTGAGCTATCTGCGTGGGAAATCGAGCCAAGGATTCTAGCATTGTAAGTCCTTAAGCTTACCGCCGAGCCACAGGGGGACAATTAACAACAAACCAACAACTTACTTACCAATGCCACATTGCAACAGTTTTGTTTGTGATATTTACCGCTGGTCCTTACAGCTGAACAAAATGGAAAATTATTCATGTCTTCATATAATGTTATTATAAGCAAGAACATTACACACTTAGTACCGTTTTATAACGAATATTAATTAGAAACAAGAGTTATTTCATTCCAAGTTGTAAGGTAAAACTACACTTTTATTCTGAGATCACCAACGTGAAAGTCGAATCTTAATGGTTTAAAATGTAAGTAGGTATCTTGAAAGCACACAACCACGGAAACATACCAGATTTATATGTATTTTGACCAATATATTTTTGTTTCAATGGTCACTAAAAAGGCCCACAAACACAGACAAACTCTATTTTTCTGATCACATACAGTGCGCTATAATTATTCACTTGTGTATATCATTGCGCATGAATTGAATACACAGAAGGAATAACTATCACATATGTATTAAGCCAAGAAACACTTAAAACAAACATATAACAAACACCCCTTGTAACATATCGCAGGACAAGACGGTATTTCATTTAAAATATAATTATTCCCTTAATGTGAACAAAAATTGTGAGAGTTCAGAACCGACGGCCATTACTATTCTAAAGTGCATTCTAACTGTCTTAAAGGAAAAAAAAACCCGAACAGGAAAAAAAAAATTATTTATGAATTACTTAATGAACTTGTTCGTATAATTCGATAAACTGAGCAGCTATTAACAAAATGGTTTTGTATTCGAGAAAACAAATATCATGAATTACCTAAAGATATAGACGTTATCCAAATAAGGGGTCCTTAAAATTCGGAGTTCAATCCTTGAAGTGGACACAGTGCAGATAGTCTATTGTGCAGCTTTGCACTCAAACAAACAAATATGCAACCAAGGAAAATAGATAAATTAAAAAGAAAATACATGAAACTGTTATGGTCTCAGCGATGTGTTTTAACGCGGTGATAAAAAACAAAGCAACATCAACTTTCTGTTAGATAAATATAACTTAAACTTTCTGTTTATGGACGCTGAGCAACATCAACTTTTTGTTAGATAAGTATAAGCTAAACTTTCTGTTTCTAGACGCTGAACAACATCAACTCTCTGTTATATAAGTATAAGTTAATAAACTTTCTGTTTATGGACGCTCAATCGCCTTAGACGTGTTGGAAAACTCCCTGAAGCTTTTTAAAGTGTGTTTTTTGTTATCAGTAATAAGTAATAATTTTAAGTTTCCTGTCAGTAAGACATATTTACGAGAATGTTTCTTTGAAAGAACGATCAACCTCAGGAGTTCGTTAAGATAGTGTTCTGCTCCCACTTATAATAAATGTACTTTATTCTATACCACTTATAATAAATGTAATTTATGCTAAATAATGGCATATAATGATTTTTTGTAACGTCAAACAGTTTTCAAGTTATTTTACAACACATCTTTGTTAGCTTTTCAGACATGCAGACTTTAAGCTTTAAAACAATTTTTATGCGTGGCGCGCACTGTTGAATAGCTTTGGAAAAAAACTACTTTCAGAGCATGTAAGGCATGTGTTCTCTCTCTCTCTCCTAGGACTGTCGCCTGAATTCTTATCATCCTTGTTAAATTTTATTCTTCTAGTATTTTTGTACATCCTATAGTTACAAAGCTATTCATTTTCTGCCAACTAAAAAAATCAAACCATTCTCTAAAGAAGGTCATATAAGTTACGCATATGTCGACTCTTCTCATTTTTTTGAGTTGCTGTCCGTAAACAAAGTATTTCGTGTAGTTTTTTCAATTATGGGTTTTTACAGTATTTGTATAATGTGTACAACACTACTCACCAAAGAGAAAGTACTAACTGAGATGAATCTACACAATGCTTAAATTACTTTTAGGTTTATTCTAACTTTTATATCTTGCTTGAAGTCTCGGTAGAGTTAAAAATAAAGAATAGTATAGAGTTTGTTTAATTTCCTGTAAAGCTACACAAGGGCTATCTGCACTAGTCGTCCCTAATTTAGCAATGATAGACTAGGGGGGGAAAGCAGCTGGCCAATACCAATTCATAGCTGGATTGACCGACATTTGTAACGCCCCACGGCTGAAAGGGCGAGTATATTCGGTGACAGGGATTAACAGTCGAGCGCCCTAACCACCAGGCCATGTAGAAGAAAGAGAAACCGAAAATCTATACGTTTTCTGTCATTTTTAAGAAAGGCATCTTGGGCTATTCTCATATATCTTGTGTGAAATGCGCTGTAAAAAGCGCCAGGTTAAACGACATATTGTCATTAGTAAACTTAATGATAAACATAGAAAGGTGTATGTTTACTAAAAGTGTGTCGATACAACAATACGATACGAGTAACGTATCGTGAAGCAGTGATACGCAAGTTAAACGACATATTGTCATTAGTAAACTTAATGATAAACATAGAAAGGTGTATGTTTACTAAAAGTGTGTCGA